ATTGATTATAAATAAAAGTAACTATTATTTTAAGATATATATAGTAAATATTATTTTTTAATGCAATTAAAATGTTATGTATTAACTTATGTATTATTGTTATGTATTAATATTCTTTTGTTAATAGAAAAAAAATTTTGATTAGATTTGCTATAATTTGTTAAGAGAGTAGTAAAAGTTTAGTTTAGTTGAGGGGAAAAAAGAGAAAAATTTTCATTATTAATTTACATTGTTTTTCAATCGAGGGAGTATTCATTATATTCAATATAAAGGCCAATATTACAAATTAGAATGAATAGAAATGTAAACGAATAAGAAATAATAAAGGGATTAAAATTTATTGAGATAAAAATTAATTGAAGAAGAAGAGCAATTTCTATATCGGAAATTAAGAAGATTAGTCTAATAATAATTAGGTTCTAAAAGGTAATCGAGCCCTAGATGATGGGTTAAATCCGCATTCAAATGAGGATATTTTTTCTTTATTTAAGTTAGTTTTTTGGAGATAATAAAGTGGAGTTAATAAAAAATAAGATTGAAGATAAGATAAATAAAAAAATGATGAATCAAATAATATTTATGATTATTTATATTAATTTATTTAAATTTTTTAATTGGAAAATAAATGTAATAATATTTATAAATATAAATACATATATAAATACATAAGTATTAGTTAAAAATATATAAATATGTAATATGTAATTAATATTAAGAAGAGTTTAGGGAGTAAAAAAAAATTAATTGTTTTAAGTGTATTTGTAGTTTAGGAATAAATAGGTACGTTATAAATAAATTATATTAAAATCTTCATCAATAAATAGAGATGAATAAGAATAATCAAACTATATCTCAAATCAAAATGTCAGTATCAAGACACTGCCTCAAATCCAAAATGATGATACGATGAAAAATGTATTTTATAAAGTCGAATTAGAAATATTGAGAGGAATAAGGTTCCAATAATGACATGAATTCCCTGAAAACCAGTAGCAATAAAAAAACTTGACCCGTAAATTGAGTCAGCTACAGTAAAAGGGGCATTAATATATTCAATTAGTTGAAGAAGGGAAAAGTAAATTCCAAGGATAATTGTTATTAAAAGACTTTTTTTTCTTTCATTTATATTTTTATTGATTAGGGCATGAGATCAGATAACGGTTAAGCTTGATGAGTCTAAAATAATAGTATTAAGAAGGAATATCAAAAGAATTAAATGGAATAATAGGGAGTCATGATTGGCCAATTTCAATTCTGAGGGCTAATGAAGAACGAAAGTATACTCAGAAAAAAGAAATAAAAAAGAAAATTTCTGAAATAAAATTATTCCTATTTTTACCTTTAAAAACATCAATAGAATGACATCCTTGAGCTTCACGAAGAACATCTCGTCATCAGAAATATATACAAATTAAAGTACCTGGGATTGAGAGTGATAAAACAGGAGTGTAAAAATTATGGAATCATCTAACAATACAAAGTAGGTTATTAAAAATACTAAAAAAAATAATCAGAGTTTAAAGACTAGGGGTAACTAAATAGAAGGGGTGGTTATGACTATGATTTGACATAAAATTAAGAATTTAGAATAGAGATTGATATTATTTGTTAAGTTTCTCTACTGTATAAGATTGATAAAATGGAGAATACGTAAACTTGAATTATAGATACTTAAATTTCAAGGATATAAAGTAAAATTTGAGTGGAAATGAAAAATGAATTAGAAATATTTAATTCTGAGGAACCTAGAAGGGTTAATAGTAAGTGACTTGCAAATATATTTGCAGATAGACGAATAGATAATGTTAAAGGGCGAATAATTAAGCTAATTGATGCGATAATAACTATAAATCGTATTAGTATAAAAAGAGTTCCGGATGGGATTAAATGGGTTAATAAGTTATTTAAGTAATTTATAATTCTGTATAATATTAGCATTATTCAAAGTCTAAGTGACATAAAGAGACAAAATTTTATGTGACTTGAAGTAGTGAAGATATAGGTTAAGATATAGGAAAAGTCCTAGAAAATTATTAAAAAAAAGAATTAAGATAAGTCTTATAAAAATAATAATATTTGAAAAAGAGTAATTAATTAAGATTTTAAATTCATTAAAAATATAATTAGTAAATAAATTTCATAAATATGTAATTCGGGATGGTAAGAGTCAAAATTGTTAAGGTAAGATAAACAGGAAAATAAAAATCAATTTAGGATAAGTTGGAAGAAGTGGTAGAGTCAAAAACAGAAAAGAGATTTATTATCATAATCAATTAAAAAAAAATGTTATGAGATTTATATTGATGTTGAATTTTATTATTATTAGGTTTATGGAATAAATTAGAGGGTAATATAAAAAAATATATAAAAGAAATTAAAATAAAGTAATATACACATATTAAAATAAGTAATATACACTTAGATTACATTATTAAAAGATAAAATTAAAAGATAAAATAAGTAAAATTAATTATAAAAATAATGTATAAATAGATAAATAAGATTTTAATTTTAGGAATTCGGCAAAATGATTAGGTTCAACTGTTTAATAAAAACATAGTTTTTTGATAATAATAAAAAATATTTTT